AACGGCAGCCCGTCTGCAGCAGCCGTCTCTCTTCATAGCCGTGTGTGAAGTACCCATGGCTTTAATTGAACTTTAATTGTTTTCTTTGGTAAAACATGCATTTGATTTGTGTTTATCTTGATGCCTACATGATTATTCCCCCACTAAATGAAGAAAGTCGCAATATATTATCTAAAGCAGGCATCCCCAACCTCGGTCCTCGAGGGCCGCTGTCCTGCAGGTTTTAGAGGTTTCCCTGCTTTAGCACAGCTGATTATAATGATTGCAGTAGAGCAAAAGCCTGTTAATCAGCTTTCAATTAAAATTTCCTGAGGGAGGGAAACCTCTAAAAGCTGCAGGACAGCGGCCCTACAGGACCGAGGTTGGGGATGCCTGATCTAGAGCAGTAGTCTTCAACCTTTTTAAGCCCAAGATCCCCAACCTCCGTTAAAGGGGGGGATTGTCGTTAAGGGGGGGATTGTCTCCAGCTATACCTGAAACCTGCCTATGCCCCCTCCCCTTAACGACTGACCTTCAGAATCATAGACAGGTTTCAGATATTACAGGCCAACAATGGAACCAAACGACCCACTCCTCGGTTACCATTTGCATGTTTCCAAGCGATACAAGGCCTTGTCTCTATAAAGACTCAAACTCACTGCGGATCCAGACATTTGATGTGAGAAAGCTTCCTGGAGGGGAAGAGAAACGTCTTCAAATCGTGGAAACCAAGTCCAGTGGATTTTTTAAAACTTTTATGGAATGACTATGACCTGGATGACTGAGAATCTTCATCAGCATAGTGGGGAATATTGGAAGTGCAGTTTAATATAATCCAAGTATGTGAATAGTTCCGTATGAAATGAATGAAAATAGTTTCAATGATTATAGAGTCAGATATGTGGCGGGCAATGTTTTTTTTATTGAAAGGTTTTATCAGTTACTGTGTAAATGGGTCTGGTTGTAATTTAAGCTCAGATTCTAATTTATCTGCAGGGTGGGGACTATAAATCTGATATCTGAGACGACTATACTGCTTCTGAAGCTACTCAGAAAAGTTATTATTGGCACCCAAAAAAGTAGAGAGCAGCTCCGCATCCATTCTTTGTTTGCTTTGTGTGACAACTGTCACTGTTGCTAGGAGACAGAGTGTACAGGTAGTAGTGAAAGACGGAGAAAGCTGGACCTGTTCGAATCTATAGGCAAAACTCTTCCAGCCTCCTTATTTTCACAGACCTTGAAGGATCGAGTCCAGGTAGACCGGGCTGTGATGATGTAAGCATGGACCCTTTAAGCCAAGAGGAAACGTTTAGCTGCAATTGGCAACACTGAAGCACCTTTAAGAACAAGTTTAAATGAACAATTAATTTGTTGACAGTGACAACAAATAGCAGTACCTAGATCCAGGTTTTGAGGTTCATCTGGGAGAAAAAAAGTCATTTTGTGCTAAGTTTCAGTTTGGAAGGTGAGACCCTGTATTTACTCAAAAGGAGGATTTTTTCCCTCAGTTTTTATGCAAAGGCAGCTCATTGAAATAAGGCGTTGGGTTCCATTGAACGTGTTATTTTGCCAAGCACCATTTTCCACTGGCAGTGTTGAAGGGCAGTGCGCCTCACAGCGGTTGGGATAGTAGTACACATGGAGGCTTTGAGTAGAGCAATAAAATGATGAAACATGCAGTATTTATTATGTGATGAAAATAAGAATAAGAATAACGCCTCCCACCTACAACACCTGCTGTTCTCTTTATAAAATCCATAAGTCGCGTCATTTAAAATGCTGTTTTTCCACCTTTCCAATGTTAAAGAAATTAGGTTCTCTGATAGTGCTGTTCTGAAGCCCCAGGTAAAGTTATTTGGATGTTTAAGAGTCTGCATATAATTCAATTCAATTTCAATTCAGTTTATTTATATAGCGCCAAATTCACATCATGCCATCTCAAGGCACTTTACAGTTCAACCAGATCATACAGTCAGATTGATACAAAGTTTTCTATCTAAGGAAAACCAGTTGATTGCATCGACTCATTGACTCTTCAGCAATCCCTCACACTAAGCATGCTTGTAGCGACAGTGGAGAGGAAAAACTCCCTTTGAACAGGAAGAAACCTCCAGCAGAACCAGGCTCAGTGTGAGCGGCCATCTGCTGAGGCCCACTGGGGTTCAAGGAGACAGAAGCAGACATAGAAAAAGAAGTCAAGTCAAGTCAGCTTTTATTGTCATTTTCTACATATGTACAAGACATACAAGGGAAATGAAATTACGTTTACTCTCTGCAATATACAAATATACAAAAAATATACAAGACTGACATTTAAAAACTGACATAAAGTGCGGGACATGACAGGTAACAGTGGTAAGATAAATATAAATATGAAGTATAAACATTACAATAAAAAGCAATAAAAACAGCAGCAATAGTTTGTTGCAAAAGAAGCATAGATACAAAAGGCAACTGTCAACCAGCTCCACAGGCGGCCCCGTCCAGGAAACACACAGCCAGGCAGACGAGCTCCGAGCCAGCTCCCATGTCAGAGGATGAAGAGAGCACATCCAGTTAGTCACAGTCAGAGAAACAGGACTACACTGGAAAACAGGCCAAGCTCCAACATCTAGAAACAAAGGTGTTGATGGCAGCAGCACAGCTGATATTTCTCTCCAGGATGGAGTCACAGCCAAACAGGAACAGACCAGATGAAGCTACTATGAGAAAAAGCAGAGAGAGCAGAACGTTAGAGATTGAACTAACAGATTCTGCAGAGTGGGAGAATAGAGATAGAATGAAGCAGAACGATGAAAAAGGGGTCCCTATGTCCTCCAGCAGTCTAAGCCTATAGCAGCAGAACTATAGAGATAGAATGAAGCAGAATGATGAAAAAGGGGTCCCTATGTCCTCCAGCAGTCTAAGCCTATAGCAGCAGAACTATAGAGATAGCTCAGGATAACCTGAGCCACTCTAACTAGAAGCTTGATCAAAAAGGAAAGTTTTAAGTCTAGCCTTAAAAGTAGACAGGGTGTCTGCCTCACGGACTAAAACTGGTAGTTGGTTCCACAGGAGAGGAGCCTGATAACTAAAAAATCTGCCTCCCATTCTACTTTTAGAAATTCTAGGAACCACTAGTAAACCTGCAGATTGAGAGCGAAGTGCTCTGTTAGGAACATAAGGAACAATCAGATCTCTGATATCAGATGGAGCTTGGCCATTTAAGGCTTTATATGTGAGAAGGAGGATTTTAAATTCTATTCTGGATTTAACAGGAAGCCAATGAAGAGAAGCCAGGATAGGAGAGATATGATCTCTCTTTTTCATTTTCATCAGAACTCTGGCTGCAGCATTTTGGATCAGCTGAAGGCTTTTAACTACAGTTTGTGGACTTCCTGATAGTAAAGAATTACAATAGTCCAGCCTTGAATTAACAAATGCATGGACTAGTTTCTCAGCATCACCCCTGGACAGGAGATTGCTCATTTTTGCAATATTCCTCAGATGAAAGAAGGAAATTCTAGAAACCTCTTTGATCTGGGATTTAAATGACAGGTCCTGATCAAAAACAACACCAAGATTTTTTACTTTATTATCTGAAATCAGTTTAATCCCATCCAAATGAAGTGACTGACTAATCAGCTTCTTTTTCAGAGACTCTGGTCCAAAGACTATAACTTCTGTTTTATCTGCATTCAGAAGCAGAAAGTTAAGAGTCATCCAGGTTTTTCTGTCTTCAGACATGCCTGTAATCTATGTAATGGGTTAGCTTCATCTGGATTTATAGCCAGATATAGCTGGGTATCATCAGCATAACAGTGGAAATTAATCCCATGCTGTCTAATAACTCTACCAATTGGGAGCATGTATAAAGTAAAGAGAATTGGTCCTAGCACTGATCCCTGTGGTACTCCACAGGTAACCTTTAAGCGTGTTGAAGATCTATCATTAACATGAACAAACTGAATTCGATCAGATAGATCAGATTTAAACCAGTCTAGAGCTGTTCCTTTAATTCCAATAAAATATTCAAGTCTTTCTAAAAGAAAATTATGATCAACTGGATCAAATGCAGCACTAAGATCCAGCAGGACGAGCACAGATACAAGTCCATTATCTGAGGCCATGAGAATATCATTAGTGACTTTCACCAGAGCTGTTTCAGTGCTATGATGAGCTCTAAAGCCAGACTGAAACTCTTCAAAAAGTTCATTATGGTGGAAGTGATCGCAAACTTGTTTGGCAACTACTTTCTCAAGAATTTTAGATCAGAAAGGAAGATTGGATATAGGTCTATAATTGACCAAGTCATCTGGGTCAAGAGACGGTTTCTTAAGCAGAGGTTTAATTACAGCAACCTTAAAAGCTTTAGGTACATATCCCTGTAACAGAGATAGATTAATCACATCTAAAATGGAGGAGGAGATCAACGGGAATATCTCCTTAAATAAACTAGTTGGAACTGGATCTAACATACAAGTTAGATCCAACACATCCATTTTGCTTTTTAATAACTGACTTCCTGCTGGAAAGATCCGCTCTGATCCTGATGGACGAGGAGTTAAAGCGTCAAACATGAAAAACAGAGCAGTTAAACAATTTAGAAAAGGAGGCAAGCAGGTTGCCTCCTTCTAAATGGGGTAAAGAAAAAGCAAATTTAGGAGATAAATGTAGCTGGTGCAAAACTGTTCTTAACTTGAATCAATAGTAGGATGTCCCAACTGTAGAAAAACAAGGTTTTGGTTCCACAAGTTCTACCAAGGTGAGAAACCTGGTAGTAAGACTGGACCAGGACTAAAGATTGGACTCCATAACATTTCCTTTCTGGCAGTACATGTTATTTTAGGGAGTGAGGTCAGACTTACAAAGGTTTGTGCTCCTTGTGGTTCTGTCCTGTCATGAATATCAATGAGCTGATGTTGGACCTGGTTAGGTAGCGGTCAGTTCATTGAGGCTCTGAACATAATGGGTTTCCAGCCCTCGTGGTCCTGCTGCCTGCCTCACTAGGCTTGAAGAAACTGTCCTTTTCTCTTGTACAGGAGCTACTATGGACACATGACGGTGTCCCCTGAGCCATACCCTGCCAACAGCCACATGATGTTGTCATCTGATGTCTATCCAACCAATTACCTCCCCACAGCATCAAATGATCAGCATCCAGGTAACAACTACCTGCCTAGCGTCTCCTACAGCTTGGACCATCTGGACAGACTGGACTACCAGGTAGTTTTAGGATTTTTTGCTGTCAGATGAAACCTTGTTTGATTTTTCATGCTGTCGTTCTCATCTCTGGCTTCTGCTCCAGAGTCCAGAGATGTTGCCTCACCAGCCCAGCTCAGAAAGCTGTCTGATTGGCTGCTACAGCTCAGAAGAAGGGACGAGTTTCCCCAGACAGGTACATGAGACGCTTGTTCTGAATTTTGTAAGCATTGTTTTCCTGTTGGAGACATGTAGCCATTGAACTGGGCCAAAGTCTGTTTGTTATTCTGGTTTATGGGATCGCTGCACCATTAGATAATGGAAATCTACCAGTTTGAGAACAGTCAAATCTTTAAAACATATACATCATAGGAGATTTTCTTTTGGAGAAAGCATTGACAGCGCACAACTAATGTTGCTTATCTTTATCCCTACTCAAATTCACTTGAATTGTGTTTTCAGTCGGACTATCATCCTACCTGGAGGCCTGACCGTCCACTCAGTTACCTCCCCCTCAGTGAGCTGGACAGCGGCTTAGGGTGCGGGCCAGACAGTCCACACCCCAGGGTGGCACTCTCTGAAGCTGAGACGGATGCCATGTCATCACTTCCGGGTCACACCCCTTCCTCCCAAGGTTCCTCCTCCTCCTCGGAGTCCCTGATCTCGTCTGAACCCAGCGACTCCGGCTTCCACAGCGTCAGCACCGGGGAGCACAGACGGCTGCACAAGCTTCCCAGCACCCACACTCACCGACCAACTCCGCACCTCCGATCAGGCCACTCCCCTCGAGAGCAGAGGGCACGGTGGGATTTGGAGTCCATCCCTGAGACGACGCCAGTGACCCACTCTGGACCACCACAGGCGTCCCGGTGCTCTGTGGGAAACAGCACCACTACAATGGTTCACTTTCACAGAGCTGAGAGAAGCCCCACTTTACCGCATCACAATTCACCCCCATCACCCTTCATGGGTAAGTATTGATTGCTAGAATGCAAACTGGTCTATAACCAGGAGTGACAGCTTTCATCCTGATGTGTTTATTTAACTGGCGGGGGATGGTTAGGGCATAGATCTTGGAATCCTGAGGTTCTGAGTTCAAGCCCCACTCCCACAGACTGCCACTCTGCATTCCTGAGCAAGACCCTTAACCCCACACTTCTTACCAGGCGCCGCACAATGGCAGCACACTGCTCCTCAATGGGATATGTTAAATGCAGAGAGGGAATTTCTCCAATGTGAAATCAATAAAGTTCAATATTTAACTGATCAAGCTCTTATGGAGCCTGATAACAAAAATCTGAATCATTATACATGCAGTAAAGCAGGTCTTAGGAACCAGAACTCCAACCTCTGAGCTAAATGTTTTAGAAAACATCTCTATTCCACTTTAGCTAAACGGTGACTAACTAGAACCAATCACACGACAGCGCTAAATGATGGAGTGCTGTTTGTTGATTGTGTACAGGTAGCCGCACTGAGCCCTGCCAACGGAGAGCGTTGTGGTTGGAGCAGCAACAGCAGGGTCGAGGTGGAAGGATTGAGGTCCCAGTAAGGAGTCGGACAATAACAGATCTGAGTGAAGGCCAGCAGCGCCGCAGGGCAAGTCATCCCAACATGACGGACCCAAACGTTCTAAGAAACACTCACCAGAGCAGCCATCAAAGTCCAAGCAGGAACATGATGGGGCCGAGGAGCAGGGCCAGTTATCCCAGTCACTGTCATCCCACCGGTCATGTCGGCCTAGACAGAGTCAGCCTGATCAATCATCCAAGTTCAAACCGAAGCAAAGAGGAGGACTCCCTCTCCAAAAGCCCTGGATCTGCCTCCAGTGGGGTCTCGGACTGGCGGGGCTTTCAGACACTCGGCAGTTACGTGGAAAAACCCAAAAGTTCCTGTGGTCCTTTTTACAGCACACTGGGAGCTCCACAACGTAGTCCTCGATCTCCAACATCTCCCCGCTCCAGGATATCCAATCAGAAGTCAGTAAGGAACCAGCTGCTCCGAGCTCGTGCTTACCGATTGGCCAGGGAGCGCAGTGAGGTCACAACAGATGAAGAGATGCGAGGAGACGGTCTGAAAGGAGGTGAGGATGAATGGGAGGATGGTCGGTGGGCAGGGAGATACTGGAGTCGAACAGAAAGAAGACGTCACATGGCACTGTCACGGCAACACAGAGAGAGGAGAGGTGGAGCGGAGGAGCATTTGGGTGGGTGCCAGGGGGCGGCGTCATCTCAGATGGTGCTAGAGCTGAGCCACCTGAAGCAGAACCGGCTGAGGAACAGCAAGCTGCTGGATGATTGGACCACGGTAGAGGAGCTACTGACACACGGGACTCGGGTAGAGAGCGACAGTCAGCTGTGTCCCAGTCCGCTGCTGTCAGTTACCACAGTTTGAAGTAAAAACAAGCACTACTAGTTATCTGGGCCTCATCGAGGTCCACATTTGTTACGGGTTCAACAAATGTTCTCCAGAACAAAAAAAATAGTCAAGGCTGTTTCTATGTGCTCAGAGTATGACCTAATATAAAGATTAGCTTAACTGAATGTCTAAAAGGCTAATCTAGAAAAAGTTGACTAGTAGTTCATATGATTTCCATCTAATCTCCAAAATCCCCTCTTAACTCAAAACATCATTCACAAATTTCTAAATTTGAATTAACATGGAATTTTCCCAAAGTTATGTTTGCCAGTAGCTCTTCAAACGGATCTTTGGAGGCCCATAAAAAACTAGAAAAGCACTTGGAGAGCGCAGACCTCCAGCAAGCAGCAAACTTTGCCCCAAATTGTGACTTTCACCTAAAGCTAACACTGACAAATGATCTCATGACTAAATTCTGTCCGAGTCTGAGTGATGTCATAATGGCCGGCATGCTGTTCCCACTGTGGACCAGAACCTTAACTGGATTTTCAGACCAGACCCTAAATAGTTAAAATGGATTAGTTAGAAAACGTGTCAGTAGCTCTATAGAGATGATCTCCAGAGAACAGACCAACCTGCAGCGGTGTGTCAAAGGTCTACTGAGAGTCTGTACCCAGCAGACTGCCTGTGACTGTCTTCACACGACGGTTGTTTCCTGGTGGAAAAGTGACTCCGCCTCCCCTTCAGCTCCATGGAGTATCAGAGTTGACTTTCCAACATCTCCCACTCACCAGGACTGCTGTTACTGCACCTTGGAACACTTTCCTGATCAATATCTTCTGGGAGGCTGATTCACCATAAAGTTTGAAATCATGTTTTTCTTTATTCACTTTCTTCACTCTGGAACAGAGCTGGTTTGCAATACAAGAGATTTCCCATTTCCGCAGCACTGTGCTTAACGCAGAGTTCCAGTGTTAGAAGGTTACCACCTGTCTGATGTGTACCAGGTCTGTGGAAAGCCGCAATATAACGCATCATCATCGCTATTTGAACAGGTGGGCAGCTTATATGGTGTTGAGCTCAAGCATGTCTTCTTCCTGTTTATTCATAGAGCGCCAGTTCACAACACGTCATCTCAAGGCACTTTACAGCTCACCCTGGAGGTCAACGTAACTCTACATTTCACATGTTAAGGGATAAAGTTCTGTAGTACTAACTAATCACAGCTGATTATACTTTTCAAACTCACTACTATTCTCTGGTCTATAAAAAAAATACCAAAGACGAGACAAATCTGCAACATCCTGTCATTTCCACGATTTCTTCAAAAACAGAAACAGATCAGAGTTTTGATTTATGACACATTTTTGGTCACTGGTTGGAACTGGTTTGACTGGGAGGGTGTTGAATGATGTGGCTGACCATAAGAGGCCGTGATGCTGTCCCAGGGTGTCTCTGAGGTCCATCAGGCTTCCAAACCACAATGCCAAGAAGGACACCACTCGGTCACTTTCCTCCATCTAGCATGGTGGTCTGTGGTGAGGCAGAACATCTAGACCTTCTCCGTTATCAGCCCATAGCAATTGGTGCTCTGGCCTGTGAAGCTGCAATGTATGCTGCCCGTCATTAAGGCCTGCTGCAAGATGGCGGTTTAGGGCTCTGTGAAGATCTAAGAACCTGTCTCCAGAAGTCACAGGGTCCTGCCGGGCTTGGAACAGGGCAATAATCCGACTGTGGCAAGGCAACCCATCGTCCAGGCTGGTGTCCAAGTTAGGACCACTGGACCTCTGGACTGTGAATATTGTGGGCGAGTACTATAGCCCAATCTGGGCCCTGAGCAATCAATTTGCTTCAGCTGCAGGCTATTATTTAACATGTCCAAGGTATCCATTGGGTCTGCTGAGCCTCAGGACTGTTGGAAGCTGCAGTTACTGCCCGTCTCCAACACCAGTCCGCATGCAGACCAAGTTACATGAACTCAGATTCAGTTCTGGTGTTTAACTTTGCGGGTTGGATAGCACGTTAAATCAATCTCACCAACCTGTTTAGAATGACCAAGCAACAACACCTTAGCTTGAGAGAGAAGATAGCAGGCCACAAGAGTTCCCAGAACCTTGAAGGAAACAGAACCACACATGGTGGGAACTCTGGTTCTGTTCGGTTCACTTCTCAACATTTATGAAACCTCTCTGTCGGCGTCTGGAGTGTCGACAGCGCAGTCAGCAACCTCTAAACCAGATGTCAGCAGCAGATCCAGCCAACTGCTTCTTATCCTTTCAATGACAAACTGAGCCTCTTAGTCGGCGGCGACTTTAGGTCTGAGCGTGGATCAGAACCCAACCTGTTCTGAAAGTGATGACTGATGTTTGTTTCTTCTGCAGGTGCCTCCAACTGGAGGAGAAACACATGATCCATGTCAGGTTTAATTAATGTTATGATGTAACGTGTTATAAAATGAAACTGTTCAATGCAATTTTGTTAAATATCAGCAAATGTTTATTTATTTTGATATTTTAAAATTCTAGGTTGATAAAATCTGTGGTTAGAGCAAAAAAGTTGAATAAGAATAAACGTCAGGGTTTGTTTTTCTAGTCTGTGTGAGAGAGAATGAAAGATACAAACTATCTGTAGTGTTTAGCCAAAGATATTGCATACTTTATGTTTGTGGACAATTTAGAAGAAATATCCATATATGATGAAATACTATATTTTATAGTCATTTTTATATTTTCTGCTTTATTTTGCCTTCTGACCTTCATCAGCACCCTGCTGGTCTGTACATAGAGGTTAGCCTAAATAACATTAGCATCACTGCCAATGAGCTAACATTTCTACAACACATCATAGCTCCTTAGGGATTGAATGACAGCATAAGAGTTTCTCCCACAGACTAGGCTCTCCCATCCCCATCACTGGGGTTCAGAATGGACAGATCCAGGTGGCAATATCCCATAGGTGAGCTTTGACAATGGAGCTGGCCTTGTGGAGGCAAAGGATGTGTTTGGATGTCATTATAGATCAGGGTTCCTCAAGTCCTGGACCTGAGGCCCGGTGTCCTGCACCTTTTAGAGGTTTCTCTGCTTCAACACACCAAAACCAAATAATCAGGTCATTAGCAAAACTCTGGAGAACTGGACTGCATGGTCAAGAGGTCGCTGATCCATTTGACTGAGGTGTGGCTGCAGAGTCCCATCAAAAAGTGCAGCACACCAGACCTTAAGGACTAGAGTTTAGGAATAGAGAGATTCAAGCATAAGACCTGCAGCAGAGATCTCACCTTATCAGACCAAATTTCACTGAGGAACAGAGCTTTGCCTGAGCTCCTCTGATGGACCTGGTCTCTGCGACCCTGCGACTGTCCTGGTGTCTTAAATCAGCGGCACAGCTGTGCTTTGGTCTCACACACCATTTTGGATTCCTGTCACAACTACAAGCCTAAATAAGTCAACCATTAAGGAGCGTTAAGCAATCCCTTAGCAGCTCACAGGCATAGGAGTGGCGTGTCGGTAAAACCTCCAATAGGGCAAAGACAGGGAACCCAACTGCCTTCCTACTGACTAATCAACAGGAAACTGTCCAGAGAAAATACTTGACTGTGCAGCAAAGAGTAAAGCTGCTCTTCCTTGGTGACCTCACAGATCTAGCCCCGCCCCAAATTCAGGCTAGGTCAATAAATATCTCAACACTGGGACCTAAACAAAGGGCTGGGTCCACCTGTTCTTTATTCATTCAGGCCTGCCTGTCTACAACATCTACTCAACAATTGACAGTAAGAAAAATATAGAAAACGAGCTGCAGTATCATCAGATACTTAGACTTTATAAAAAAAAAAAACTAAAATTCAACCTCAGAATCCAGCATGGCTGCCAGCAACGTAAAGGATTTTCCAGCAGCAAAGCAACTTATCACTCTGGACTCTGTCAACAGCAGAGATGATGAATGTTTGGTCACATGTTGTCCCACTGATTGACTTAGTGTGCAAAGAAAAAGAAGAGAAAAGCAGCTTAGCATGCTAATTAGCAAAGTCAACAAGCCAGACGGTTATGCTAGGTTTGATGCAGGCTAGGCTAGGCTAGCTCTACCTTATGCCACATAAGGGGAATTATTTTTAATATACGATATAAATGTGATTGGTATAATTTCAGATAGTGCCAACTTTACCAATATGTGTTAAGAACATGGCAGATTTTTTTGATTAGCTTAGCCTAGCATGAAGATATACTGGGGTAAAACCAGATTATTCCCCAGGGGGCCGTTAACCAGAGGCTGCGTAAATGTTAGCTTCAGGCAGAGGGTTAGGGTCAGATTCTGGTTCAAGCAGACATAAATCAGCCGTAGGAAGAATCATCGCTTGGTTGAATGTTTTGATTAGATGTGTGACAATGAAAACATTCATCATTTGAAGTGAAAGCAGCTGTAGGTCTGTTAATGTGAGGAGCAGCAGCCAGAGCTCTGCTGGTTTCCACCTGCATGTCATCAGCGGCGTGCAGCTTCCGGTTTTCGTTTTTTTCTGTTTACAGCAGTTACTGTGAAGCTGAACCATTAATACTTCAACCTTTGAAAGATGTTTGGAGAAGTTTGATGGACGTAACAGCCAGACATGGGCAATGTGGAGTCAACAAGTCATCTCCATGTCATGTATTTAATCTACCCAGCCAATTAACCAGGTGAGTCCAATCTGCACAGGTTAATTCACGGTGAAGATTGGACTCACCTGCTTCAGCGGCTGGGTAGATTAAATACATGACATGGAGATGACTTGTTGACTCAACATTGCCCATGTCTGCTAACAGCACAGCTCTCTTGTACAGGAACCTCAATAAACTGTTTACTGTTGACTGAGTCTGGATTCTGTGGAAAAGCCTCAAACTTTCAGCCTCTAAACGAACCTGCAGCGTCTGAGCAACCGGAGAACGGTCAGCCTGACGCACCTGAAGGGGCAACGCAGGACGCCATGACGCCATTCTCACCTTGGAGGAGCAGAGGGAGGAGCAGAGGGAGGAGCAGAGGGAGGAGCAGAGGGAGGAGCAGAGAGA